GAATCGTTTCGACACGAGGAGGGAGCATGGCTTCGATCTGGTATTTCGGACTCGGTGACTGGATGACTGCGATGAACAGCGAATGCATAGTTTCGGCCTCTGGCCAGCAATTCCTTGCAAACCAAGAATCTGGAGAGGCGCTTGCAGCCAGCATCAGCAGCATCAGAAGAGACCCGTTTCTCCCTACCGAAACCTGTGCAAAAGAGGCCAACGCAAGACTCGGCATTTGCCGTATGCAGAAACCCCCCCGGTCAGCTCCAGGTGGGGGATGGCCCAACAATCCCAGGCTCACGTTGTGAGGTATTGCACGAAGCTCCGCGCTCCGGAAGGCTCTCGTGACCAGTGAAAATTGAGCGCGATGTGTGCCGAGCCAGGATGGCACATTTGGTGCATATTCGTGTCATACTGAGATGCAATGCTTGTCAAGTCCTCAGTCGCCAGAGCCTTCGAATGTTGAATCTGATCTAATTCATGCTATTGTAATGATGTTAGTCAACATGTACCCTCTCGACATGAAACCTCAATGCATGGGCATGTGAAGTCTTGTGAGTGCAGTTCCTTTCAAGGGCATTTGTGCATTGGCTTGCAAAGGATGTTGTGGATTCAGCAGCAACATTGGACCTTGTTTCTGCCTTGTGAACGATGTCATGCTCGGCTAATGAACTGCCCCTTCTAGAGTCGCTTTTGCTAGAAGAACACGCACAGGGCAACAAATCCTACTAATGTCGTTTACAACCGTCATGAGAGAGCTGCCTCTTTCGTCATTTCAGGAGATTCAGGGCGTGCATTTTCCTGGCAGTTATCGACATTAACATATCTCTTTGCATTAGGTTTGTCTGTCCCACTTCTGTCGAGCTGTCGTCCAGCCCGTGGCTCTCAAGTTTATTCGGAGCAGCTTGATCCGTGGAGTTTGGGATATGGTGCCACCGCCTATAGTAATGTTTTCATCCACGTATGTCGTTCTTGCGCCTGTTAGCCCTTTTGGTAAGCTTTTGGTGGCCTGAAGATATCGCGCTGAATACTCTGCTCTTGTGCTTCCGGCTTACTTACTTCCGAAAAACCTATTGCCTCCGACTGGAAGTAAACTGAAAAGGGGAACTGGAATCGATGTTCAACTGCTGGCTGCACCATGCCAGGTTTTCTTAGAAAGGGCTGCATTGAAGGGATGTGTGCAGGGGTTGGAATTGCTGACCTGTAGGTTTTGGAGCATTCAAGCCTGTTGCTCCGTTCCGTCGCTGCTCGTGAAGTTCATGTAATCATGCAGGTCCTGGTGTAGTTGTGTGCCTGGTTCGTTTCCTGCAGTATCGCGGCATGGCAACTTGCTCTCCAGGCGATGCTGCCTAAGGGTGGTGACACCAAGAGTGGCAAGATTGCCTTGGACGCAACTCTCCGAAACGCGCGGGCCCGAACAGCATGGGCACAAATTGAGATGGAACCCTTGAGTGAGGCTTTTTCCACTGACAGCGTTCCAGCGAAAACGACAGACATTTTGCGGCAGCGACTGGGTAGTTGTCGTGCCCCACACTAATACAAGTCTGTCAAGCGCAGCAAGATACTTTCGCTGAAAAGGCAGTCAGTTGGCCTGCCGTACCGTACCGCCTCCCGAAAGTCAGTATGGGGTGGGGCGAGCTGAGGCTGTGGTCTACCAGAAGATAAGAAGAGAAGAAGCAGCAAAGAGGCTGAAGCCGGAGGCCCGTCGATGCATAGGACATAGGAGCTCAAGACTGTACAGCACTCTTGACGGCAGTCGCTTCAATGACGGTTGGAAGGACCAGCGAAATGTGTATGTGGAGCGCAGCGACATTTGGGTGAAAAAGATGGCCCGCAAGGCAGGCTAAGTAGCAAAACGACGCTTGAAGATGTGTCGCTCCATTTGAACTGCCAGGCGGGTGCTCTTGTCATTTTCGTTGTCGATGCAAGTGGCCCTTTGCTGAGCTGTGTATCAGATACTTGCGTTGCAACTCTTCTGTCGTAGCCTTTCAGGTTCCATGGCATTGAACCGAATGCAGAACGCCAAAGGGGCCGTGCTCCGACTGCTTGAGAATGCCTATCAAAACCGAGATCAGGCATGTGGCTCGGTTCCTGCAGGGAAGGTCTAGGATGTGGCTCGTTACTCCGGTGGCCAGGTGGCCCTCATTCCGTGCCGTGGCATCTCGGCAGAGGCCGCATGCTTCATGCTCGTAGTCTGCGAAGGCGACCAAAGGCATCCGAACACAGAGACAGGATGACAGCGGAGACAGGAATGCAAAGGACTACACGGATGTTGGAGTTCCGTCTAGGAGGGGGTGTTGGGGACATGCCTGGGCTACGTGCTGCTGCCCTTAGACATGGGTCAGCCCTGTACCACTGAGACAGAAAGGCAGAGACGGGAGCGCGTGTGCACCCAGCTCCTTTGCCATGAAGTGGTAAGAGAGAAAAGCACCCACGGATCAGACTCGAAAAATTGCCCTTGCCCTGACCTGGAGCACAAAACAAGAGATAAGTCAAACCACACTCTCCGTTGAGGATGAGTGCGAGGGAGGGGGAAGGAGCACAGCAACATCGACGGTATGTCTTGGATAAGCCTTGATCTTGTTGGGAGACTTTCTAGGTCGGCGGAAATGTTGTATGGCAAGAAACTTGGACTTCTGGGCCCTTCCTGCCCTAACTCTGGACCTCCTTGATCAAGGCAGGAACCCTGCAAAAAGACGTCTCACTGTCACTGGCAGGGTTGATAATGATCAAGAGTCCGGCTCCCCGCTCGTTCACGCAGCTTTTGACCCACAAAATGATGATGATGATGATGGTGATGGTGATGGTGATGGTGATGGTGGTGGTGGTGATGGTGATGATTGTGAGGATGATGAGGATGATGATGATGATGATGATGCCCCACTTTCCCAATCCACAGCCGCACGCGACCAACCTCCATGAAAGACCGTTACCCGCCCAGACCCTCCCAAAGAGCTCCAAGCACCGGTCGAGACCCCGACCCTTCGAGAGTTTAGGGTTCGAGCGTAGCTCCTGTCCGAAGGTCAGCAATTCCACACCGACACCAATCACAAGCCCCGACGCAACGCCTTGAATCCTCCCAAAGACCTGCCACCAGAACCCTTTAGCCGGTTGCCTCATTGCTTGTCCGTTTGGGCGGATTCCGGCGGCAATCACGCCTCTCACCGGTACAGACCCTCGCCTTCTGTTGTCGTGAAAGGTTCTGGCATGATTCGTTGGCTGCAAGCGAGATGGGCAGATACATGATGCAAGTTGGTGTTGCGGATGTAAGTTTGTTGCAGGTGCTCGTCCAGCCAACTTCCTCTGTCGCACGTGCCAGCGGAAGCATGAAGGCAGGAGGATTGGTTTTGTAGACTGCAGAACAGACGTCATGTTCTTCAATCTTCTAACTTGCTCTAATGAACCCATTTGCCACCAGCACCGACATCATCATTGTTGTCATCAGGAGTGTCACTGGCACCACCGGCACCACCAGCCCAGCTTCAGCGACATTAGCATCATGGTTGAACTGCTAAGCAATATACAGGGCAATGCCCAAGCATCGTACAGCAGAGCCCCACTTCCTCGATACAGATTTGTAAGCTTCTGGGCAGCGCACCTTCTGCAATTCCCGTTTCCTTGTGGTCGCAGTGTAAGTCGAACATTTGTTGAGTCTGTTTTGACTTGCAGTACTTCGCAGGTTCTGCCATGCGGTGGTGGCACTCCCCTTGCGCACGCACTTTCACAGGCAAGGCAGTAAGCAAACCGCTGGCCGTTTTGACAGCTGCAAGCGTCCACTCCACCATGCCTGCTACGCTACTGGGACCTTTGCTGGCTGTGCTGGGTCCTGTCATCTTGGAGCACATTGCGGCTCATCGAGCCTGCAGAGCAAGCAGTGCGAAGTCTTCTGCGAGTCATGGTGAGAACCTGACCGGCTTCAGGCCATCATCTTGGGAAGCAATGCGATGAAGAGTTCCGATGTTGGACAGGTGTGGCATGTTTTGGTCCAGCTGAGCGGTTGAGTGTGCTCGTGGGCTCGGGGCAGGTTTGCTGTGTGGCCATCACTGATGGTCGTGCAAACGTTCCACTTGCGGTGAGCGAGGGTGACCAGAATGCCCTGGACTGGGGGTTAGGTAAGTGTCTTGCACCTGCTGCCCAGCGGGCTGCTGACCTTTGCCGCCCTGCCTGAACTCGGACAGTTTGCTGTGTTCAGCCCTACAAGCCCAAGTTTCAGCTCCACAATCTCATTTCAGCTGTTGCTGTGGGTTCTTGGCCTTCTCTGTTGTGGATACTGGCTGGAGTCGGTTGTCGAAGATAGCAGGCACTTGTGCTAGTAGTGGCGTCAGTATGCGAAGCCTGAATCGCGGCATGCAGCTTGCTTGAATCTATGGACACATGACGAGTAAACATGTTTAGTTGGAAGCTAACAGCACCCTAAGGACTCCTCAGCTCAGCAACACAATTGCATGTGAGGATGAAAACGGGAAGATGAAGAAAGTGCCGAAGGAAGACTTGCAGGCCATACGTTTCTGCTGCCACTGGTCCGATGGCTCTCACTTCGAACTCTGAGGAGGAAGCTTATGTGCTGGCAGACAAGATGAGAGCACTGGGCAGTGCCCCCAGTGTGAACCGGCCCTGCCACCCATCAGTCTCTTTAGCTGGAAACGCCACCAGCACGCTTAACTTGTCAAGCTTTGCATGTGTGCGGTGTCTTCTTTGTGTAAATTACAAGTGTTACAAGCTACGTAGACAAACTGCAGAAACTTGAAGCATCTGAGAGGGGAATTCGCCCACAGCCGCCCGATGGCTAACATGTCCAGGTCAAAGTGAGGTTTTCTCGCAGGTGTGGTCAGGAGATGGTGAGGATTCTCGCAACACAAAACGTGTCAACATGCTGCTTTGCCCTGTTAGTTTGCGAGAGCAGTAGACGATGCCGGCCGCGGTCTTGAGCCGATGGCCTCCGTTGCATGGAGGATGGCTGATAACAGCAGCACTGTAGGATTTGCTGCGGTTCTGGCAATATTTCCAGGATTCCAGCAATGTCAGTGTCACTGAGGTTTCAAGTTTCTCCTCATCGATACTGAGAACAAATATGTTTCGTCCGGTGTTGCCAAGACCCTTGTTGACCGTGCAAACGGAAGGTGCGGGGCCCAGCTTCGTACGGCGAAGCCTTGAGACAAGCTGATATTTCCTTCTGCACCTCTTGGCATGCCCGGCAGCCCAAGGTATTACTATCTACCGCGAGCCGATGACAAAGCTATTGCGACGCGGCTTCAAAGCAGAAGTTCGCACGATAGCAGGAATCAGCATTAAGACTTTTTTGTGCTTGTCTCAGGCTGGCATTGCCAGTGATGCCATAAACGAGATGAAAGCCAGATAGCATCTGCGTCAGCCAATTCCTTAATTCTTACCATTTGCTGATCAATGCAGACCAAGCTCCAGACGATGCTCCCTTCACACCGACAAGCTACTTCTCGCAGTATGTCTGGAACATTTTTTTTCCCACTCGGCGGTGCTGGAGTTTTGCATCAACTGTTTAAAGATGACTCCCAGCGTAAAGGCTGCTCGAACTCGGACAAAAAAGACCGGCAGTCGCCTTAGCTGCGTTGTCCCGCAAACGCTTCATCTGCTACATGGTCGACTTTCTGCAGAAAGGAGGCTTTGGGGAGGATCCTCCATGTTCCAGCAGCTCTGCAGCTGTGCAGTCATGAGCCCGTCACATGTAGGGAAGCTTTCATAAGTCATCGGTTGAGATGCTACAGCAAGGTACCGGTCTCAACAGCCCGTGATCCAAAATACGTAAGAAGCGCTTTCTGCAGAGTTCTGTGGCGTCGTGATGTCTCTTGTTCCACATGCAGCGTGGTGCCCGGATTCGCAGAGCTCTGCGCTGTAGTGTGCGTGTACGAAGTGTCAAGATATATGTTCAAATCAACCACAAAACACTATTGCTTGCGTGAGGCCTGACACACGCTCGCATCATTCAGAGGCAAGACCAAGACGATGGCCGCATGACCACGTGATGCTTGTTCTTGGAGGTGCTGCAAGCAAGCAATCTCTGCATGCCAAGGACGCTCCTGTTTCAAAGCCGTGCCGCTTGTAGTCAGGGTTCCTCGAGACGCAGCATACAAAGCCAATGTTGCCAATCAAGCTCCCTTCGGAAGTTTGTGGCACAATGGCATAGAAGCGTGATGCCTCCTGCAGCTGGCAGGCGGAAATACTTCGAGACAAACAGGATATATGTTCAGTGTTCGATTCGGGCCGCATCATCAACGATGTCGGGTTGGCAGAGGCCTCACCATGCCTCTCTGAATGCGCGCCGTTTGGCACGAAAATTTGAGCAAGGAAAGGGCACACTTTGTTTGAACACGCCAGCGACCTTGTGAAACTTCGCAAGTGGCCTCTGAGGTCCTGCCCTGGTCCCCTCTCGGCCGCAGACAGACTAGACTTTCACCGGTCGACACTGAAAAGAAAACATACCGAGCAGCGACGCCAAAACCCAAAACGCAGTTGGGAGCAGGGCAGTGACGACCGGCATCGGTTTTGGTGACAGCTATCAGCATCTCGCCCGTTGGCATACCATCGCTCCTGTGAATGCCAAGCAAAACCCGGACACTGTCAACCAATAGCAGAAGTCCGAAACCCGAAAAAGGAGTGAGCCTCGCCCCTTGTGGACTTGCTCTCAGCAGCGCAGCACGCCTAGTAGGTCCTTGAGTCGACAGGGTTTAGGTGCACGTTGCGCAGCACGTTTCGTGTTGAGAGAAGTGTGGCCCGATGATAAGTTTATGATCTTGCGGGTTCTAATGTAGATGTGACTAGTTATTGTCCAAGAAGACCAGGACCAGATCTGAACGGTGAACTTGTGACATTTGCGCGATCCGCTAGGGATGCGTCACTGTGCAAACTTACGAGGGCCTGATGTGCCACAGGCTCCAAGAGGCTGCGAATGGAATTTCCCGACACACATGTTGCCGACAAAAGGAGTGAGATCATTTATAGCTGACTTCCAACTGCCTCGTGCAGTCGCTACACCTGAGCGAGCTTCAAAATTAATAAGAACACATCCTCATCTGGCATCAGCCTGCAGTTTGTAGAATAATACAAGTGGCGAGGCAGTGAGGCCACTCAGGCGTGAAGCTCAGCAAGGTTCAACGAGTACCATAGTGTTCACGAGTTTTAAGCACGAGCACTTGGTTTCTTGTGCTTTCAAAGTGAACACTTGCAGCGATGTTTTTATTTTAGGATACTTTACACGTGGTGTAAAGTTCAGAAGGCAGGAGAAATCAAGCTCCTCTGGTCGCACAAGGATATTGGCTTAAGCTCAGGGTACAGTAAGGAGTGGGTTTCTGATGTGCACCTAGGAACAGACAGTTGAGACTTGCAGCACAGGTCGTCAAGCTCAGCAAGCCTGTCACCTCGTCTGTATTTGCAGGATGTTCTGGTCAGGTCTCCGAAGTTCATCAACAAAAAGGCCAGTGAATGTCGAGTGACTTTCCAGCATAGCAGCGGTACATCACAGCTTCTGTTCTGCGTGTCCAGATGGCTAACTGCAGCTCGCATGAACTCCTGACAATTTGCCGCACATGCCTGTCAGAGCCCCAGTCGACTGGCCGTTGTTCGAGTTCCTCGACGCCCGGGTCAGTCGTGAAGACCGTGGGTTGGCTTGCTGCACACGGTCAGACCCACGCACACAGCCCAGGCCTGCCTTTGACTTCATCAACGTGGCCCGGGGCCTGGCATGCAGCTTTCGTGCGAGTGGAGCATAGCATCTGCAGAAGCTTCTTAGGCTGCCGCCCTCCATCGCATTGCCAAGCTACACTGCACTGTTGCCGCGCACCTACTGTCGCACATGGCGTGTGTATTACCTTCTGTGACTTTCGCATCTCATGCCGGAACGTCACTGCTTCATGCTTTTTGAAGTCCGGATGGGCACCGTGCTCACCATCCTGACATGTCGCGTGAACGGCAATAGCGACACAGTGCTGTTGTGTCTGTATCTGGCAGAGTCGCACTGGTGCATCATGATCATGAGGTTGTTGATAATGGAGGTGATGTAGAAGATGTGGGTGGCGTCATCTTGGAAAAGCTAATACTGTAGATCATGGAGGGTGTGAGCGATGTTTTCAGTGATTCAGATCATGACAGATTGTTTGCACATATCTGCACATGTAATTGCACACATTTCTCGACATGCACATTGATTGGCTCGAATTTTGCAGTCAATCCTTGTTCAGGAAGCAGAAGATTTGCTGCCAGCGCTCTGTGACAAGGCGGCCCACGCCTGAATTTGCCTGATGTCTGTGTTCTGGCAAGTTATTTCAAAGGTTCCCATGCGGTGGTTTGACACGATAGGTGTTCTTGGAGCTAGTTTGCTGGTGTCCTGCAGCCTTTCAACGAGATTGAAGAACCGGCAAAACAAAACCGACGACTGTTTCGAGTTTCAGATGGAGTTGGAAAGACCAAGCCCTTTCGTGGCGTGATAGGTTACAGATTCTGGCACGTGACATTCTAGGTCAGCAATCAGCAATCATAGCGCATGCATCTGGAAACCAGCAGAAGACGGTTTCTTATGTTTTGAGTTCTGTACTCTGACATCGTTTAACTTCTATAACCGAAAGAAGCTTTTGTCAGCAAGGCATCCAGCTCCAGGAAGTCCAGCCAAAGATTGCAAAGCATGTCTTCACGTTATCTTATTTTGGTTACTGGTCACCTGCTGAGGTATGCAGCATTGCTACTGGCAGCTTTCAGGCACAAGGTTCAGTTGCACTCTCAGAGGAGATGAGAACTGTTCAGGTGATGCTGCATGGGTAATTTTGACCTATGTGGTTGAATCCCATCCCGTCAGGCCAGCACAGGCCAAGCATCAACTACCACGAAGTCACATGGACAGCCGGTGTAGCGCTCATTCGACATTGGCATTATAGTCATTATAGTTCGCATGTGAGCGCTCATGTTTCGACACGCCCGAACTAACCTTCGATCACAGAAGTTCTTGAAGGAAGCACATGACTATTCGAGTTTCTGCCAAACTCAGGTGCTCGCAGTGACAGCCGAGGTTTGGTGAACCTGCATCGTCCTGATCCCAGCTTGTGCTATGCGGACAGTATTCCAGCGTATTCCAATCAACGGTTTTGCGACGTTCTGCGCACCTGCTGACCTTTTCAGCGGGGTTCACCCTTTGTTGCAGCCACTTTGCCTGCCCATCGCCAGCATCCAGACTCGCAGTCCAGGTTCTAACCCGCACGGTAGACAGGGTGTGATGAGCAGCGTCTACCGAGGCTGGGCTTCGGGCGCAGGAAATTGCCAATGTCGGGTAAAGTTCCAGGCCTGTCTGGCGCTGATACGTCAGATCGCCAAACTCTGTCCTGCCTGTTAATTAGCAGGACGCTGGACCATTTCGAGAAGATGATGCTAGAGATGCTTGCATGCAGCAGGCACTTTGCTCATCCACCTAGATTATTTTTGATGCAGTAGCTGATCTTTGACTGCCTCAGTTTGGAGACTTAGCCGTTTCTTCACCTCCGAAATTGATAGGGGTTCCTGGCTTGGGAGGCTGTGTTTGGCACAGGATAGGGGCACAAGGCATGGAATGCCAAGAGAAAGAAATGGAATTTCAAAACAAATGTGCTTGAATTGCTGCTGGTGGGTGGGTGGGTGGGTGTGGGTGGGTGTGGGTTGGGCGTGGGTGGGTGTGTGGGTGGGGGTGGGTGGGTCGGGGTGGGTGGGT